TTTAATGATAAAAATAACACATCTAAAATCCTTATAAAAATAGCAATCATAAGTACTTAATAATTAATAGTTATAATTAGAATATTATTTGAATAATGAAATTTTTGTCAAATGTGTATATGCTATATAGTATTATGACTTGAGCAATATATTATTAGCTGAGTATTATACTTATATTTTTGACGTATAATTTTTTAATAGATATAAGTCAATAGGTACATATTACTGTGTTTCATTTCATAYTAATWTCATTCCTATATTAATATACCATATACCCTATGTAAAAAATTTGCTGATTTTGTAAGAATAATCTCCTATGTGTCAATATTATGTTGTGAAACTTTATGATATGGTTGCAGTGGTTGCAGGTTAAAAACAATCACTAAACGAAAAACATAATTTTATATAATATTATATAGGTGTGTGCCGGAGTTTTTCACGGGATGAGAAAAATAACTTCTCTCTAAGGCAATTATGCAGATTACATAATAACTATTGATTACAATTTAAGTTAAGATAAAGTTTTAGATTCTGAGCAGATGATTCTTATTCATGGTTTATTGTTTCACAAAGGTATGTGTTTGACTGTTTGAATTTGGTTCTGTCATCACGTTTTAGCTTTTAGTACTCAAGGTCAAAAGAAAAACATGTTCAGTAATTTAGTACTTTTCGTGTCACAATCGGTAAAAATTCAAAAAACGGGAATACCTATTTACGTAATACCAATCTTAGAAAAAATCGATTTTACCGAGTAACCACAGTTCGTTGATATTTAAAAATGTTGACCAATATTTATATGTCGGTATATTAGATTTTTTTAGGTATCAAAGAGTTTTAAAAATATTTTGGCTCTTTGTGAGTTGTTTGTAGACATTTTAAATATCTGATTGTTAAAGTTTTTTTGATGGAGATTTGTGTATGATATGTGATAACAATATGTTTGCAGTTAGAGATTAAAAGTTAGCAATTAAAAAGATTGTAAATAGCACACTACAAAGTTCTTATATATATAAGTTAATTGTATGCCAATTAAAAAATATCTAAATACGATCACAGTTTTTTGTAGATTTTTGAAGCTTAAATTTATACAAATTGAAACGAAAAATAACTTCAGAAATATTATGGGGCAAAAAAAAAAATATAATTATTTGTATACCTTTAAAAAAAATGTCGAATTTCAAAAAAAGATAGGTTACAGTGTGGTCGTTGTTAATTATTGTTGTATAAAATATGATTTGTATAATTTATTACTAAAGTCATATATTATGTTATGCGGGGATATAGGTGGAGACGTGATGAGTATACCGCCGATCAACCAAACCCGTATGGAACACGAGTCCGTTCATTTCAGTTGTGTAAAAGAAGATCCTGAGTTCGTAGTCCAATGGTATAAAGATGGCGTGCCCCTAGATGATTTGCCATTTTTGAGTGGTAGATTTCTCGTGACTCCAGAAGGTTCATTAGACATCTATGATGCAGCATTGAACGATAACGGTTTTTATTCGTGTCGCATAATATCAGCGAAGGGAACACTATCTGCCGGTGCTTTTCTTAATGTTCAGTGTAAGTGTATAACTAAGAACCTTTTAATCAAATCAATATTTGGTGTCCTCTCAAATAATTTACAAGCCTAAAAAAAAATGACACATTTGATAAACAGATATTATAGTTATACTTATTATTTTAGATTCTGGACGAAGTGATGAATGTATTGATTTTACAATGATGTGTGTGTGTTTTTTTTTGTGTCTGTGTACAGCATAACTAGTCGAAATAATGCTTCAATTTCAAACTTTAGGGGTGGTTTCTGATGTAAAAGTGAATATCCTTGGTGCATTATAAAGATCAAAAGTAAACATTTTCCAACAGTTTTCAAAAAGATCGAAAAAAACAAAAAAAATGACAGAAAAACGGGAATTTTTASGCAAAACCAGTTTTCGACTAAATCTATTAAATGGTTGTAATTCATAAAAACTAATCACTGTAAATACTTGAAATTTTCACCAAATGTTTATGTTTGTATATACAGTTTAATTTTCAAAATTTTTTGACTTTGAAGTGCCGGTGTAACAGGCGATTTTTACCCCCGGTAAAGTTATCCTAGGATAATTATTCAAAATATTTTGACTTTTTTTGAGATATTTATAGACGACTGAAATTTTTAATTTTCCTGAAAATTGTTTTTTGAAGTGTCGATACAATTTTTTTGGCGCCATCAAAATACTTGAAAATTTAATACAAAGTTCCTCATAAGTTGTTCTTATAATGATTAAAAAATTATAAGAATATATAGGCACAATTTTTTTTTATTAGCATTTGAAATTCAAATATTGACAAAAATTTGTCAAAACCATGAATATTTGCAAATTATTTTGTAGTTCAAAATTCATAAAATTGTTTGTATTTATATCTAAGGTTMAAAAATTCAACACTAAGTTTTYCATAAGTTTTTCTTCAAATAGCTATAAAGGAAATTTGAAGCGTCATTATAGGAAAAATGTTTTGAGCGTTTGAGTTTTAAATTTTTATGAAATCGCGTAACGATAACGATTTATCCTCAAACCAGGTATAGGTATGTATATCTATGATAGTATAAGGTATTATGAATTATGATAATTACATGCAATGTTTTTGGAAAAATTTATTAACGCTTTATGCAAAATGCGTCCTAATTGAAAAATAAAATATTTGTTTCAAAATAGAATACGATATGACAATATTTAAATATAATATATCCTAGACTGACAAATCATTTCCGTTCATTGTTTTTCGTATACAATGATACCTATCATTGCATTCAAATCTTATTTATCCTTGTCAGAGATCCACCCCAACACCTAATGTAGAGCAGAGCGACATCCACTTACCCGCTTTTTTTTATTGTAAATAATAATATTGGATTTGTTATATTTTAATATAATTTTATTTATTTATATTTTGGTTTTTGGAAATGGCAATCGTCTCATAAAAAATTTTACATTAGATATTTAATATTTGTTGTGTAATAGCTGGTAATGTTTAAATCATTTAATCTGCCATTTGTGCGTGAGAGAAGGGGTGATTATGTAAATTTAGTTTACCATTTGAATTTTACTTTAAAAAAATCTAAGCTTCCACTAAATTTCAATTAAATATTTGTCAATATAATATATGTAATACCACACCTTTTGCAGACAAGGCGAAAGTCGTCTATTCGCCAGCTGAAGTTTTTCTTGCTTACGGTAAGCCTGGTACCTTGGATTGTCACTTCCATTCCAACCCGCCACTGACGAAAATAAGATGGGAAAAAGACGGGTTCTTGTTTGATACGTACAACGTCCCCGGAGTTTACCACAGATTAAACGGCTCTCTTTACTTTGATCGGGTATGAATCGAATAATAATAAAATATATGTCTCAAAAGTCCCATATTGCCCGAAGTATCTTATTGACTGAAATATTTAAAATTTAAATGTGGTTTTTCGATTGTTATATATTTTATATTTATGAAAATTTCTAAGTTATATTTAAGGCCATATCTAAATTTTTTTATTCTTATAAATAACATTTAAAAAAAGTATAACTATTTAGATGTATTTATTAGACACGTACATGCACGCCCGCAGAGATGCAGCTCAGGGGGGGCAAACAAATTTTTTTTAATGTTTTTCATACAAGATTTCGGCAATTACGCCTAACCAGTCAAAAGTATTGAAAATAATCGTTATTGCGATTAAATACCTCCTATATGACTTGTTAGATACAAGGATTGTCGAATAGTCGCTCAAGATCAACTTTATGTAAAAAAACTTCCAATTTCGTAAGTGACGCGAAAAATCTCAGGGGGGGCAATGGCCCCCACTGGCCCCTCCCTCCGGGCGTCCCTGGACACGTAAATAATTAGGGTGATACAGGACTATCGGAACAAACTATATAAATTATATATAGATATCATTAAATATATAACATATTTATATGACTTCAATAAATCATAACTTCATAAGTATACCGATTTTAAAATATTGTAATATGTAATTTTTAACAACGGTGTATGTAAATACTATAAATATACAGGATTTTAGGTGGTTAATCTATTATTGTTGTGTTATAATTACATGCACATTGCACGTTGCGTGTACATAGGTAGAAAAAGAACACGGTGGCAAATACACGTGTACACCATTCAATGAGTTGGGAACCGAAGGGGCATCTACGCCAATGGACGTGATTGTCCAGCATCCACCGAAATTAATTGTTGTACCGAAAGTGTTGTACTTCTGCAAGCTCGGAGATAATATCACAATGCCGTGTGAAGCAGAGAACTTCGACAACAGAGGTCCAGCGATTGTTTGGCAGAAGGTACCTCATACATATGAATAGTATTATAATACATCAACACTAGGAGATTCTAGGGCCGCGTAAATATAGTTGACCCTAGTGCCTTCCCTGCATTGTCCATTTAGGCACCACATTCAATGGGGAATCGAAAGTTCCTACACGAGAGTAACAGGTAAAGAATTACATACGTTAGTAATTCCTACATAATAATATGTGATATGTAGGTAAGTTCCTAAACGGCGAAAAAAGGAATGTATGTAAGTTGTAACACGGTGAAAATAGGTACATATATAAAAAAGCGGTTACGTCGTGGATGTCGCTATGCTGTACAGTAGGTTACAAGTGGGTTACTGTAAGGACGGAATTAAATTTGAATCCAATGATATTATAATATCATTGTATACGAAAAACGATTCTAAGTGGAGACGGTTTATCTGTCTAGGATATATTATAGATTATTAAAAATTTTCAAATCTTAGATTTAAATAGAAATTCTTTTATTAATTTTCTAGCTTAAAATAATTTGCGAATTTTCGTGATTTTTCCGTATACATATTGTAAAAATTAAAATTTGAATGCTTGTAAAAAAAATTGTGACAATGCATTTCTTTTATTTTTCAACTGCTATTGTAAAAATATGTTAGGAGCCGTGTATTAAATTTTCAAATCTTAAATCTAAAAAGAAAAACTTTTATGAATTTCTATCTATATAAGATAATTTGAACATTGCGTAATTATTATGTATTGAGTCAAAATTTGAATTTAAATGCTTACAAAAAAAAATCATGTCTATGTATTTTTATATTTTTTAACTGCTGTTTTTACAATGTGTTAGAAGCCTTGTATTAAATTTTCAAGCTTTTCTACCCAACAAATAAATTTTTATCGATATTTATAGTAACAAAAAACTAAAAAAGTTGAAAAATTAAAATGTCAGGAAACAGCTCTAAACAAATCAAAATATTTCGAAAATTTTATAAAATATATAAAATGCCTATATAAACATTCTGTGAAAATGTCAAGTATCTATGTTCATTTGTTTTAAAGTTACATCAAAAAACAAAATCGAGTTTTTCGAAAATTGATTGTGCGTAAAATTTTCCGTTTTTCCCTTAATTTTAGTTTGTTTTTCTCGATTATTTAGAAAAGTATTAAGAATTTTTTACTTTTGACCCCTCAAAGTACCAACTAGATTCACTTTCTAATCGAACGATGAATTGAAGTCAAAAATCGAAGCACTTTAACAGCCCCAAAACTTGATGACAGACACAAAAAAAAAAACACACATACATCATGGTAAAATCAATACATATTCATCGCTCCGCTCAGAATTTAAAATATACTATATTTAAAAAATATATATATATATCTCATTTGCGCCAAAATTAATATTTTATATAAGTAGTTATTTAAAATTGCTATCTCATAAAAAATTATATTATATTAAAAAAATGATCAATAATAAATATTGTTAAAGTACCTATATAATATAAATTTGATAAATTTGTCATAGCACTATAGCAGTTTACTTATCTCATTTCGAAACAAAAAACATAGGGCAACATCCGAACATCGTCATTATCTCGATTCGATAGGTACCTATAGTATATATATCGCGATTTTAGTCGATATACTAGATTACATATCACAATATTTTCCACCTCGTATGAATTAATAATTTTACCAATCATTCCAAATTTAATTTAATTTATATATTTGACTCAATATATATATTTTGACCAGAGAATAATTATTAGCTATTCTGTAGTGTTTTAACTATCGTTATTGGTAGTCGCGATACACGAAAATTGTCGGAAGCCGTGATAACCAAAAAGTACCAATMAATGTTATTAATTAATAATTACTATCATTATTTAATCAAAAAAATAACAAAAACTATAAACATTTTAATTATCTATACTAATTTTATACATATTTATACCTAGGCGGACGGTAAAAGTTTATTTAATCCTCGAATAACAGTCAATGGCGGTAATCTAACTTTGACTGGCGTGAGGAGTGAAGACAGAGGTGTTTATAGATGTGTGGCATCCAACATTGCAGCTACTATTTCGGTGGAAACAGAGTTGATCGTTGAGGAAAACTTATTCCACCGTAAACATTTTGATTTGCACGTAAATGCAACTAACAAGAATATCGTAGCTTACTGGAAACGACCATATTCATTCTGCACTGTTTGGTTAGTGATGATTGTTACGATAAAATAAAATAAAAATAAACATTTTAATTAGTTTGATTTTTTTTATATATATATTTATTTATTTATTTACAAAACATTATTCAAACTTCACAAGGACTTGAGGGTAATTAAAACATTTCACTATTTCGTGATTAAGCAATAACAAAAATTGCAAATTTGTTGTACATCTTGAAATACTTATAACTCGCTTTAAAATTAAAATATAGAAAAAACTCGCTCGGTTGTCTAAACAATTTTTCTTACCTTTAAATTTTATAAGAGGTCATTTCAATCTAATTTTGAAACTAACGAAGCTAAACGTGATCTACTGAATGTAAAATTTGCAATGTTATGCGTTTGTAAGAYGCAGACAACATAATATAGCGGATATCACGTCCTCTTAAGTTATTTTTACGAGTCAAACCTATAATAAGACAGTTTAACTCATAACAGCAGTCAGCAAGTACTTAATAGCATATGAAATAATATTTTAATAATTACCTGATACAGCTTATATCTAATACACAGAGGTAACTGACTTGTTTTTTTGTTTTTGAAAAAATTGAGTTCAACCTATAGATTGTATAATTATTATCAGTATAATAATATTAAATATACCTGTAATAAAATATTCATACTCGGAAATAAAAACTGATAGACTATCCATCGCTAAATTTTCATAAAATTGTTCATGTTTCAATAAATATGTTGCTTCATATTAGAAATTAGTGTATAAGGTACAGTTGTACATTATAGGAAATCAAATAGGTACCAAAGACACARCGCTACTTTTAATATTATTGTCTTATACTTGGTGTCGTTGTAGGAGTAGAGACACAAGCTCAACATCGTCGAACTGGAACGCAACAGCGACGTCCAGCGACGGGAAAGCGATTCTATGGAATTTAAACATTGATGGGGAATACGAGATAATGGTGACGTGCCGCGACGAGATGAGTGGAGGAGAATCTATGTTCAGCAGATCCATTCTGACAAGTCACTTAAAAGGTAAGAGTACTTTCACAAATTACTACAATATGCGAAATATATTGAATACATTTCTATAGAGATTAATAATAGATTCTCTACTTTTTGTTATTTTCTGTTTCGGTTCTACTACACAATTAWTTCATTAAAACTTAAAAGGTATTGGATCCAGTTTAGGTTTTTGGAAAAATAGAAAGAACTAAGAAGGGCTTCAGTTAAAACTGGTTTTAAGCATTTTATTAAAAATTAATATTCCTTAGTATCTAGGGTTTAGTTTTTCATACATATTATAAAATAATATAATCTATACTATAGATTCTATGGTATAGATACAACTATTTTAAACTTGATTTGGAAACTACTGAATCAATATTGATTCCAAATTTTGCACATGCATACATGTATTCTTCAAAACATGGGGAAGTAATTTATAGCTCTGTTTTTTAACTTCTTTAGGATTCTACAAGGTGGCTTACCTTACATATACATTTTGTTTTTGCTCACAAAAGTCGAATAATTTTTGTTTATTTATAAATAACCACTATTACCATTACCTATGTTTGTAGGTTAACAATTTAAAACTGCTTGTCCAATGTTGTTGACAATTTCAGAAATTATACAAAATAGCTTGAACCATGTTCGAAAATATATAGACTGCAGTGCTATTTTCAATCAGACAAAAAGTAGATTACCCATCTCGGTTGAATTATTTCACTAAGTGAGGTACGCCGTGCCAATTTTACCAATCCCGATCTTTGCTATTACCAGCTTATTAGCTATTACAGGGAAACCACCATTTTAATACCGCAGAAYAATGCTATCTCTATAGTATAATGTATATATACCTAAAAATAGTTAAATGTTTGTCAACTATAGATATAAGAGTCATTTTTCATCTATATAAGAGTTAAACACGAATCTCGGAAAATCTTTAAGCCTGAGGCTTCTAAACTATAATAACTACCTATATTATGTTAAGACAACAATATCTCCCCCAAGATAATTTTCCAATATATGAACCTTGTCATATTCCTCCACGGAATACACACAAGACATAATTACAAAATTGATACTAGTTTATGCACACGCCTGAAACAGTTAATCGACATTTATTTAATGGACTAATTCATACTATACTACTATACTACTAGAAGCATCAAAAACTTTAACCGGCATAAGACTTGCATTTCTACCTAATTATTCCAACTGCAAAGTCATGGCAACACTTATACATCTGAATATGTGTAGTCATACTTGAAGAAGTAAAAACAACTATTAATAAAGATAATATCAGAATTGACATTTATTCCTATATTCGCTCAGTACTCTGCCTAACTGAAAAACAGTGCTGTAGAAACCACCGGTGTAAGCGGTGCAATGCGCCGGGGCACTTGATCTTGAAAGGGCCTTACACCCTTACACTTTACAGATTATCTGATAATGTGACCTAAAATATACGACAAAGAAATAGAAAATTATGTTATAAAATTATGGGGCATCTACAACAATTTGCGCCGGGGCACACTGGCACATACATGCATGTATCTAGCTATACGGCACTGCTGAAAAATAATTCACACAGAGATTCCTTGGCTCTACAAATAAAAAATATAATTCATCAATCTAATAATGAATAAATGTATACGATTTATATAGTTCATCAAACTTCAACAAAGCATTGTGGAAAAAAATTATCATTATAAGACAAAAACAAATTCAATTGTATTCTATTTCTATTATTACATAAAAAACATGATATTTTTAATTTCAATATTTTGTCATTTCCGTTTTCCTAAAAAAACGATTGTTATTATTTTATTGTTGTTGTAGAAATCACCGGACGGTCAACTGATGAATTGCACGAAAAGTCTTCGAGTCTCGTCCACGAAAACCACCCGTTCGACATTCGAGTTGAACGCTCAGGTACCGGTTACAATGTATCGTGGACGATGGATAAGTCCAGCGTTGAACATCGTGTCAAGCGGTACGTGGTGAAATGGTACGATGCGCGCGATGGCTTAGAACTCGGGTCGGCGTCAACCACGGTCAACAAAAGATACATAGGTAGGTGAGATTCGACGTATAAATATAACCTTATCAGATTTCCTATAACTATTTCACGCTTAAAAAGCAAAGTACTTTAAAAATATTAAATTTTTAAGATTTATTTTGAGTTTTTAAGATTTATTGGAAAGTTTGTACAAAATACTGTTTGTTATTAAACTTATGTTTGCTTGAAAACAATTTTCTAGTATGTGAACTCTCTTCTAAAAGATAGTTACAGTATAGTATACAGAGTGTCCCACAGAGATCTGACATTTTGACAAATTAAATAACTTTTGTTCTAATCAATATTTAAAAAAAAATTCTTTTAAATATAATTCATAAACACTTGCGCTACATTTTTTATTTTTCAATATTGAAAATAAAAAACTTAAAAATTGATAAAATTTTTTTTCGAAATATTCAATATAGCCAATTTGTAAATCTGATTTTTAGAAAAATTGATAAGAAAAAAACACTTATTTAAGTCAAAAGGCTGATTTTTCACAATTTTTTTAAATATCAATATTTTCGTTAGGTAAATTATAGTAATTTATAGTTTATACATCACTACATATTATTAAATTAAATACAATAAAAAAAATAATTAGATTTTAACATGCACTTATTTAAAAATGTTCTCATAAAATATTTTTAAAAAACTTTATTATTATTTGAAATTACAAGGTTTCTAACATAAACTAGATCGTAATTTTCTTAACGAAAATATTGATATTTAAAAAAATTGTGAAAAATCAGCCTTTTGACTTGAATAAGTGTTTTTACCATATAGATTTACAAATTGGCTATATTGAATATTTCGAAAAACTTTTATCAATTTTTAAGTTTTTTATTTTCAGTATTAAAAAATAAAAAATGTATTCTAAAAATGTAGCGCAAGTGTCTATGGATTATATTTAAAAGAAATTTTTAAAAACTATTGATTAGAACAAAAGTTATTTCATTTGTCAGAATGTCAGATCTCTGTGGGACACCCTATATAGTATAACTATATGACGATAATATTATAACATTGTTATTTTACCATGAGTAACTTAAAAATAAAAATAATATATTACTATATAATATATATATATATATAAATATAATTCATATTTTATAATATAGCTAATAATTATATTAATAGTTTTCAATGAAATAGAGAAAAAATKTTTGATTTTGCAAATAGAAAGGTCAAATCATTATTACTTTTTAATAATATTCATAAAATTAAATTCTAAATTCTAAGCGTCGACGTCTAAGATATCGTGTAGAATGTATTGATTTTACTATGATGTGTGTTTTTTAATTTTATCTGACATCTGTGTACTGTGTACACGATAAGTTGTCGAATTAATGCTTTGATTTTTAACTTCAGTAGATTTTCTGGTTGTAAAGTGAATCTAGTTGGTCAAAATTCCCAGTAGTTTTCAAAAACACCGGGAAAAAAATTAAGGAAAAAAGGGAATTTTTACGCAAAATCGGTTTTCGAGAAAATCGATTTTAAATATTGGTGTAACTCTAAAAAAAATTACCGAAGATACATTAAATTTTTACTGAATGTTTATATTGGCGCTTTTTATGCTTATTAAAACTTTCAAAATATTCGAAATATTTTTAAGTTATTTATGGACATTTGAAATTTTATTTTATTTATTAAATGTCAATAAAATGTTATTCGTTTGGTAAAAAAGCTTCAAAATGTAATACAAGGTTCCCCACAAGTTGATGTCAGTTGGAAAATATTAAAAAATATATAGGCACGTTTTTTTTATAACCATTTAAAGTTAAAATTTTGACAACATTTATTTATTTAAATTTAATTGAAAATTCACAAATTATATAGTTATTAATAATTTATAAAATGTAACTTGCATAGCTTAGGATTAAAAATTCAAAACGTTCATGTAGGTACGTATATTTCACATAAGTAGTCAATTCTGCAACAAACAAAAAATCTAAAAACTAAACAAACACATTTTTTTTTTATAGTTAATTTTAGTTCGAATTTGTATGAAATTACATATTAAATAAACAAGAAAAACATTTTTTAGTTATATTATTGTTGTAATTCTAAAATAGTATTCGTGGTACTTGAAATTTACTATAAGCTACTGTACCTAATGTACAAAAAAGCAACATCCACTCTCCCGCTTTTTTTCTTCTGTTATATAAGTTCAAATTTGGATGAAATTAGATATTTAATTCAAGAATAATGATCTTAGTTATTTTAAAAATGTTCTATGTTTAGCTACAAAAATTAAAAATTGAAGATTAATCAATTCATTCAGTCATTCAATCAATCTAAAATAGTAAAATGTAATATTTTATATTTTAATTCAGACATACATGAAATTTATACGTAGAACACATACATTTTCCATAAGTTATTTTTACTTCTAACTTTTATGGCTTGTTTAAAATTATTTGAAGGGAGTAATCCGTAAATAAGATTACCTTCATGTTCCAAGAATTGCACATTGATATATCTTCATCATTAATAATGGTAAATATTAAATAGTAGGTAACATTGATTATAATATTATAAATATTAATACAGTAGATTCTTATTATGTCAAATATCGCTATCTCAAATTTTATGTTACCTCAAACTACATAGAGTTCCTCTTGATCCTATTGATATATATCCTATATAATATTATATATATTATATATATAATATAATATAATAATATAATATTATAATATAATATAATATTATATATATAACCTATATCCTCTTGACACTACCATTACACCTACACGTCTTAATAGTGCTGAGTACTTGCAATCAATAATAGTTTTTGCATTATTTGGCGGTTCAACATCATAAGCGTGCGTAGGTATTCTTGGCAGGGGAGACAATACCTTAGCTAAGGAGGTCCAGACTCCAATCCCCCCACCCGATTTTCCCCAATTGGTAGGTATAATATTATATTTTGGTGTAGAGGAAAATCTCGCAGGGGAGGCAGCCGCCTCCCCTGTGCAAACGCTTATGTTCAACATTAACAAATAACCAATAAAATATGTTAAATCTGACTAGTAAATAAAATTTTTTTAAAAGAAAATGCTGTTTCATGTAAGAATGGTCTAAAATAATATATCAAAGTATAATGCTCTAATAAATTATCAATGTGTTAGTCTAGGTTGATTAAATAGATTATTTAATTATTTGATCATTTTTGAATTTATTGATGACATTTTTGTTAAGTTCCCTGAATTTTGGTTAATATATTATTATAAAATATAACTATACTCATGTAAAAAAAAATTATTCAAAATATTCAAAATCTATGTCGAGAAATACTAATAATTTTAATGTTTTTAACCACAACATCATAATATAAATTGTATTTACAATCAATAATCAATTAAATAAATTACTTATGAGTACATTTTTGTTGTATATATTTCTTTTGGAGTAAAAAAAATTAAAAGGGTATTCAATAATATCAAGGATTATATTTAAAAAAATATTTTATACATGCATACAAATAATTTTAATACAAAGGTGTTCATAAAAGTGATAGGCTGTCTTAAATAGTCTGTAAGTTCAAGACATAACTTATAATACATTTTGTAAGTTTAATTTTTATATATATTATCTYTGGCCTTATATTGTTGTGTTATAAGATAGGTTAACAAATTTGACAATCATACATTATTTATTATTATTGAGAGGAATATAACAAATAGCATTAATAGCAGTGAGGTCATTATTGACTTTAAATAAATAGAGGCAAGCATCAAAGTTATAATTTTTTTTTAAACAAAATATTTACAATAAATAATAGTCAAAGTAAAGAAGAATATCTTCATGAATTAATCTTGAGGTAGACCTGAGTACATCAATATGTAAGAATTATTTATATAAATTCATACCAAATTAGGGAAAAGCGGGGAGGTGATTTTTAGCATCTTCCTTATAACTACTACTATCATGGAAATTTTCTACAAATTATACATTTTTAATATTCTTAGAAAAACTTCAATGAATAAYTGAATTATTATGCTATTGTTTCAAATTTATCTATTGTATTACCAACATTTAATTCAAAACTTTTAAGTTCTTCAGGTTTATGTACCCAAGTCCCAAGTTTTAATGACTTAAATGTTGATAACAGTTCACATTTTGCAGCTACATAATTCTTATTTTTATTTTTCAATGAATCATAAAATATATTTGATTCGTTTTCAATAAGAATTGATAAATTATTTGTAACACTACACAGTTTGATGTATTCTTTAGCCAATGAAGTTTTGCACACTCTGGACAACTTGTTTTCAATTGTTCTACCCACACTTCCTTTAATAATTTCAATTCCTTCATTAATAATCCAATTAACACAGTGAGGTGATTGTGTAACAGATCTACGAGGAAGTATACCATAACCACGAAGTTGCGGTTTCTGTACTCTATAAGTAAAATACAGTGATATAATAGAGATTTAAAATAAGCAAATTGTTACTCACTTATAATGTTGTGGTAATTTATTAATGCTGTTTTCAACACGACCATAAATTGTTCGCTTCATATGATTTAAGTTAAATATACTTCCGATAGATATTGATTCTAAATAGATGGGTTCAATAAAATTTGATAGTAAATTTCCTTGAAGTCCAAGTACATTCCATCGTGTTAGTTTGTCTGAACAAGACATAGTAACAAGACGTTCACCCTGAGCAACTCCATCATATGTTTGAACTTCTCTACCAAACACAGATACAGTGCCTGCACCATTTTCAATTTTTGACCGTAGCAAACCACGGTTCAAACGATTAAATTGGTGTTCAGTATCACAGAAGCTAAAAACTCTAGCTTCACCACAAGGAGCTGTGTTTATATATAAGTGAAATGCTATATCTTCAGCTAATTTAAACTTACATTTTTTATCATCTGAGATAAAAATGGAAGGAAGGCCTTTCACTGATTCCATCAGTTCTTTATAAAAAAATTTCAATAGGCATCTGCGGGTCAATATTTCTGCATGGCAATCATGTAAAGATTCCCCACTAAGGCTTAAATAATTACCAGATAAACATTTTGTACCAGTAGCCAAACAAATTACTTGTGCTGACCTCAAATCATCTTTGGTCATCTRTATAAACAAACAAAAGGTATATAAATAAATATTAAAAAATGAATTTATTTGCCAATAATGCATTTACTTTGATAATACTAGCGATGACAGAGTATTCTTTAAATTTAATTTGATCAAATTCCAATTTTTGGTATACTATATCTGTGATTTTAGCGAAATGATCAATGATTTTAGCATCATTATAATCAGTACGCAACATTTCTATTTGGTTTTTGAACTTGTTATCTATTGGCTGCGTTTCGTACAAGGATTTTAGAGCATTGCGACATGCAATTTCTTTTGCTTCTTTTTTACTTTTCCCATAACCTATGTACTTAATACCAGAAACTATGACACTAACTGTTTCTAATATACCATGGGACTGCTCATGCTCGTATGCAAAGGTTTGTCCTGGAAATAATTCATGTAGGATGCATACTGCCGATGTTTGATGCTCAGTAACTTGATGTTCTATTGCAAGTTTTTTAGATAATGAGTTTTCTATCATATTGTCAGTACATTTTCTTTTACCAACTTGTACATTACTTACTACAGTATGATTAACCTTGAAATTATTATCATGATTTAAAGTGTGTAATTTGAAGTTTTTTATTGCATCTATTTTAGCTTTTTTTTTTGAAGGCCCACAACCATAAAACTGAAGATTATTTAGATATAATGAGACTTTGAAAGTAGGCAAATGTGAAGGACCATTGCATATAAAAGGAGACCATTCATGATTAGGTTGAGTTTCATTGAAATCTCTTAATAAATTAGTATTTTCAATATCGATTGATTCATCCATACTTGTAAATGGTTTTGACTTAACTACCAACATCAAAAACCATAAATCTTTGAAGTCTAAAAAAACAAAATTAGTTGTTTAAATTATAATTATATCATATATTTTATCAAGTGCAAACAAAAATTAAAATGATAAACAACTAAATAACAAAATATACATCAATAATCTATATACAATTATATAACATAGGTCTACTGGGGGAGGGGTACCTTGTCCAACTAAAGGTAGACTGAATGGGACTTAAAAAAAGGGAAAAACTTTTCTAGGGAAAAAAAATTATTAAAACCCCTACCGAAAAAAATAGGCATAAGTTTTTATTATTTTTTTAAAAAATCATTTATCAATATTTGAAATTATAAMATTATTGTAATATAAATAGCAGAAAACATTAAATAGCATACAATTTTTAAATTTATTAGGCCATTAGATGAGTATTACAGTGATATTTCATGTACCTACTAATTGTTGTTCTTGTTGTATAACAGACCCAATATATAATACACAATTTATTCATTATGATTATACTAATTACAAGGTATCCTATGAGTTTTGAAATTTCTACCATTTTTTTAAGAATGTTGCATAATTAAGATAAACTTATTCCAATTATAAAAAAAAAAAAAAAAATTATAGTTATGTCACTAACTATTTTTGTTTAAAGATTGTTTTATACGTTATACAAACACTTTTGACTTATTATTCAATAATATAAAAAGGGACTATGTCTATAAAATACATCAATCTACAAGATTATTTTATCAAGAAAAATAATGTTTGTGTTATTATAGTATTGGATTATTTTTATTTGATATATTTGATGTATAAACAAAATATTTTAAAATGTTTTTAGATTGATGGGTTATTTTTGAATCAACTGAGACAAGCTAAATTATTTCAACTGTTAATTTAACTAGTTAAGTTTATAAATTGATTAGAAAATTAACTAACTGGCAAAGTTAAAAACAAGTTTTTTTTAATTGAACTTCAACTTGTTTAGCTAGTTAATGCCTTATGCCAAACTTTGTTATTATATCATATCACTATATTATATACATTTGCAGTTTTGAATGTACATAAAGAATTTAAATTAACATTTAGGAAACCTGGCCCTTAAGGTTAAGAAGTTAATTCAAAAATAACTTCTATGTAAGAAAATGTATAGGTAACATGAGTATTATATAAATATATAATGTTATCTTGTAACAAAAGTCAAAACAAAATATCATATATATTATAGAGTGGATCTTGTGGCCCACTTTTCAGATTAAAATGTAGTCAAACTCCACCATGATTTTTCGTCTAGTTGAAAATGTGCTTTACATACCTACTAATTATGAATTAAGTTTGAAAGAATTTTTTTGCATAAAAGTAATCATTAAGGCCCGGATTTGAATACAAAATGCATTGTTTTTTTTTGGAAWGTTCTAGGCAATGCTTTTCAAGTACAAATTAATTTCATACAATAGAAAATTGAAAACTTTAAGAGGACGCCCATAAGCGGAAATCCATAGAAATTTCTGGGGGGGGGGGCTAAATTAACTAAAAAAAAACTATATCCAAATAAAATCACATTTCACATGAAACCTGACAAATTTTTTTTTTTGGGAGGAATCCCACAATGGATAGATAATAACTTCATCTGTCATAGGGTCATTATTTTTTTGATAAAATAAATATAATTAAAGTTATTAGCTTAAGAAAAAAACCTTATTTTTTATTTTTTCATTTAATTATTAAAAATTATTGGTTTGTGCCATAAAAAAAAAATAAAAATACATCTATGACATTGATAAAGTTCTAACCTATATGTTGTGGAATTTTGATAATTCTACTATACATACTGAGGGAACATAATTGTCTTGCTCAAGTACAGTTTTTACAGTGGCTTTTACTATGTTCTACGTTTGTAAGATGGAGACAATGCATGCGAGCAAGGCTTCTTCTTAAACTTTTCTTTTGCATTTTAGCATTGGAATTTTTCGTTAAATTTTAGTACATATTAATACATTTATGAATTTTTAGATTGAACTTAAAATTGATAATTTAAAAAAAATAGCTCAAGAAATTTTGTTCTGACCCATTTACCATTTGTCGATTGTTCTATCTATATATTCAATTAGTTGATAATATATTTATCCACAGTCTGATTAACAGCTGTTGCACATCYAGGACTCAAATCAGTATCAATTAATTATCAAGTTTGTTTTACAAGGTAAGGTTAGGTTAGGTTGTGTTTATTTCGTAAAGTTCATATTTTTATTTATTCAAGACATGTCAAACAAACAATTGGGTCAGTTTTTAAGGAAATTGGCTATTGCAGTTAGAATAGATAGGTACTTGCTATTTTTGTAAAGTTTTTAGTGCTTTTAAATTCAGGGCCAAGTAATCAATGTTCATCATTAGTTAGGTAAATATTAAAATTTATTAAAGTTCAAAAGAAAAAAAATGCAATTGTTATTATTTTTGAATCGCATAGCTCACTTACACAACCTTAAATGAATTTACATAACTATCAGAGATGTATTGGTAAAAAATGTCAAATGTATACATACCATTTTTTCCAGATAAATAACTCAATAATTCTTTTATTCTCACTCCCCTAAAATACTAGCTATTGTTCTACTGAACTAAATGCTTACTYAACTAATACAACTTTTATAAGAAATATATTTTACTTATATTACAACTATCAACTTCACAAAAACTTATTTTTATTTAAGATTATAAATACCTAACATTACCTACATAAAATTATAAAAATTATGACYGATCATAGCTGGGATTTTTTAATGAGTATAATCAGATTTTAAAATTAAACAATTCTAAATATGACTACATAACTCAATTTGTCAAAATCTAGGAACTGACATATTTTAACATTCAACTCAAACTGTTGGTGATGATAAAACTATTGATAATTTTGAATAATTAACTTTCTTAAGAGGACGCTGCATACACATTTGTAGTACCTATCCGTTTTACAGGTGGGTAACATAACGTATTTTATACTTAGCACATATCATGTTTACATTCAAAAATTTAAAATTTAGAGTGAATTGACCTCTAATATATTTTAAAGCAAGTTATGAGTATTTTAAAATTATGAATGGTTTTATATCTTAATTAAAAAAATTATATAAAACGGCAGTATAAGGTTGAATTATATTTATATTTTCATCAATGTTTATCAATGACAACACACATTTATGACTATTTTGAATAATAATTATTAATAACACGCTTAAAACCTTAAATACATTTATTATGATAGTCATTATTCGAGCTCGGATGTAAATAACCAAAATGTCATTAATATAAGTATTTGAAAAAGTCAAATATGCTAAAAAAGAGTTAATATTAATTCAAAAAAATTATATACACTTTTAAATGTGTATTTAAAATTACTTTATTACAAAATAAACAGCTATTAAACATGAAAAAAATGATTAATTAGTTTCATAGTTTCAAATTAAAGTTTACATAGATTTAGAACTTTAAGTACCAGGATTACATTATACCTATAACAATTATTTTTGATATTTCAAAATTTGAAAGTTTTTTGACGATCCGATAATATGTTTTTATAGATCAACCTCAACCTAACCGTTCYACGTCTAAATAGTTTATCCATGCAAACTTAAATTTAACAATGTCGTCAGATTCCATAGCCATTAAGCCACTGGTTTATAAATATCTAATCTCCTAATTTTTAAGTATGTTACTCAATAAGATTGTCGAAGATTTTTTTTATTGAAATACAACAATTTAAAGATGAAAAATGATAATAATATGGAAAATTTTTAATATTACATTTATAATGTATATGCTATGTAATCTAGAAATAATCAATATATGCATTTATATGCTGAAAAATGACAAATATGCAAAAATATCTAAAGTAAATTTACATATTAGTAATTTAAACTTCATGAATCAAATTCGTATCATACTCAAGTATAATTCTAATTTCATGAAAAAAATATGCTGTCATAAACATCTGAGCTCAAGTCATTATTATTTCAAAATTTCCAATTCTGTAATAAGTTGATACTTAAATACTTGATCAATTATTGTAACTGTGTGTAATGTCTGTACTCTGTATTGAGTATTTGAGTGTATGCCAAATTGACAACAGAACTCCTTACTCGGCAATCCTTGAGATAAGTAGACATAACAAAACATTAATGTTATGTTCATGGATAAGAAATTTAAATAAATGAGCTCACGAGTATTGGAGTGGGAGGGTATAATATTTCGAAATAACGATGGAATCGGAATAAAGAATTTACTAGCATACGGGATTATTAGATATTCTATCTCAATCCTGACAATCATCATAGGCGGGCGAACGAAAATCAATACAATAAGCTATGGGCAGGATATTATGCGACAGAACGAACAATAATAAAAATAACAATTAAGTAAATATTACACGTCCACCTTTACGACCGTCGAGATATGAGAATGCGTGAAACACTTGATATTCAGTTGATAATAACATTGTAAGTAAAATAATATCCGCCACCACAACTTTAATCATTAGTGCATAGGTACTTACGCTTAGAGAAGGGTTAGTTAAACGATATAACTTCTAGTTGTTTAGCGGTGTAATAACTATTAACTAGTAAACGGTGACCGAACGACAGCCGTTCGTGATCAGACTACGATTTTGAGTTCTATAATCTATACTTCTATAGTGATAATACGTCTTATTGTAACGGTTACRGAGTACGGAACGTATTATATTTATTTATTATATTATATTTATTGAAAGTTGTCAACCATTTAATAAATATTTAAAATTATGCTGTAGAATTCACAGCCCGTAATAAAGGTAGAAAGATAGTCAATAGTCATTCAAGCAGCCTTTTACATTCTACACTAATCGTCGAGGCCTCGAGAGTCGAGGGTTAACTGGTAAAGCGGTAATGTGGTAAAGCAGTAAGCACTAGAGCAAATTGAGCAGGTGATAGAAAAAGTGATAAGAGAAAAGAGAATCTCGGATTTGAGGATTCAAAATATTTTGACGGAGTATATTATGTTASATATACAAGGTATAATGTATTATGTATAAGTAAAGGTCTGTGGTGCAAAATAAATGGTCGCCTACTCTTAATTCGACGACGTAGATCGACTGCAAACAGTGCAAACGAGTTGTAACTTGTAGGAGATAGGAGAATAGCAGATGGTTTTTTTTTTATCTTTATCACTCTAGAGTCGTAATATTTTAAGTATTTGACGGCATTTAGTTCAGCGTATTGTCCACCAGAAGCGCAAAATTTTTTTTTTCTGTTATCGACGACGCTGCCGGAACGCATAATATAAGCATACCATACATTGCTAGAGACCCACAGGAAATCGAGCGCTCTCATTGGCTGTATTACATTGTGATAACATTATACAATTATC